GATATGGACATAGAAAGCGTTATCCTGGGCGGAGATTCTGCGCGGGGACAACTTGTAAGTATTCTTTTCTTGTTGCCTGACGAAATTGTGTTATTACTTTGGTTAATGCCTTATAGAACCAGCAGTACTCGGCCAGCATCTTGGACGATCCGGAGTTGATTGCCGGAAAGCATCGCACTCTGCTGACCTTCACTTCGTACATGACATCGGTCATCGACTACGTGCGTCCGTCGGATCTGAAGAAGGAGTTAAACGACAAGTTCCGCGAGAAGTTCCCCACCATCCAGCTCACGCTGAGCAAGCTGAGGAGGTGAGATAGTTTTATTTTAGAACGTGATTTAAGTTCTTGAACAATTTGCACCGTTTAAATTCCAAAAATGACTTTTCTTTTGGCTTCACTTCCAAAGTTGTTATTAGAAGATGCATATCTTTAGAAATTAGAAAACTAAATACAATGTAAAGAACTCTACTAATCAGTTTTCTCTTCCCCCACAGCATAAAGCGGGAGATGCGCAGGATCAACAAACTGGACTCGCGCATCGATCTGGTGACCATTTCGCAGGCGTACGTGTACTTTGAAAAGCTCATCCTGGCCAATCTGATCAACAAGAGCAACCGCAAGCTGTGCGCCGGCGCCTGTCTGCTGCTCAGCGCCAAGATGAACGACGTGAAGGGCGACGCCCTCAAGAGCTTGATCGAGAAGACGGAGAGCGTGTTCCGGCTGAACCGCAAGGAGCTGATCTCGTCCGAGTTCGCCGTGCTGGTGGCGCTGGAGTTCAGCCTGCATGTGAGTCGGCACGAGGTCCTGCCGCACTACCAGCGGCTGCTCTACGAGTCCTAGGAGTGGCCCAAGCGCTGCGCCGAGAAGAGTTTCTTGGCGGCAGCGCAGGCGGTACAGCAGTTGTGTCGCAAGGGCAGTCGCAAGTAGGCGTTCGTACTTATAGCATACTTTCGGGTGTTGGGTTTTCAACGATCATAACAATATTGCCTAGGCTTAAGGAGTAGCTACGTAAGATTTGCTAAAACGGTCACAAAAGAATGGAAAACACAAAAATATTTCACATATACGAGTATCTCCCAACATCCCTTTCCCTGGTTTTTAGACTCATAAGTGTTTATGTTTACATATATTTTCTTGGGTTTCTGTTATAGACATTTCAAAAATGAATAAACTAAAGTTAACCAAACGAACCTTACCTATGCATTTGATAAGTTAAGCGCTTATCAACATTTTGTGGCGTCGGCTACTGTTGTTGTAATGTTAATTTTATTCAAATTTCCAGCGGCGACGATCTGTGCCTATTGCCGTTTGCTGTTGGCCGCATGACCAAAGCTAACTAATCCGCCCCGACATGCTCGGGGATCCCACGTACTAGCCGCTTATCCCACCCCATAGTACAAGGCGATTGGAATCGGGGCCTGGTGGCCCATCAATCAGAAATCAATAAATAACTGACGATCGATTATTTGCCATCGCATCAGGCGCACAGCGCCCGGCAACAGGCAGTCCAAAAAAAGAGTTCTCTATAAACAAATACGACTGGGCGATAACCGAAAAATACGGGCTCACACGTGCCGGCAGTGGGGATCGGATCTGCGGGGGGCGACCCTGCACATGGCCTTTTGTTCAATTTGTTTGTTGCTGTAGTCTCTGTTAACTCTTTTGTGATAAGCCATGTTGTTTTTGTGGCTGAATGCTTTCGGGCGTCCAGAAAACGGGCAGAGGTTGCTGTAACGCGATGCAATCGTACTTAGCTGTTTTCCTTATCAGCAATATTATTTTTAATGCGGGAGTTGGCAATTAAGACTAGGAAATACTCTCAGTATGGTTTTAATACCTGTATTCTGTTATATTCTGGGCACGGAAAAAATATTTTTATTTATAAATGACTAGTAAAACAGCAGTCTTTAATTTTCTATGCTTTATTTCATTGTGTTAATTAAGTAATAAATTCTTAATTAATACGTTTACTAGTTGTTTTAGTAATACATGAAGTAACAGATCGTTGTTAAATATATTTTTTTTATCCATTTTCTAAACTTACATAATTTGGTTCGTTTTGGTTACATGTTTTCTAAGTTAGTTTAAATTAATTATTTAAAAATATTAAAAGCTCTTCCGCTGAGACTTTAAGTAACAATAGATGCTTTTCTAAGACAATTTTTTTCTGTGTAGCTTTTGTTCGGATTTTTGGATTTGGTAGCAGCAATCAGTATCATTAAAAATTCCATTAAAAAGTAATCAGGGAATGCTGAAAAAGTAATTAAAGCAAATTGGTACACAGTCAGCTAAAAAGCTCATTAGAGGAACTGCGAGTTCACTGCGAAAGATGGAATCTCACACGCACATGGACGTGGTGTATCTTTATCCCCCGCCCCGAATCTACCTCCCCGTTCGCTTGCCACATGTAGCTGCATAATGAAAGCGCTCAAAACTAATTAACGCGAAAGCCAAGGCGGAACAGAGGGCATTAGATACCTCCCCCAGTGACTCCACCCACCATTTCCACATTCTCTCTTTTGGGCCAGCGAATGCTGCTCGATGGGTCTGTTCGCCTGAAATTCGAGTCTGTCGTTTGTCTAGGCCACTAAGAAATGGGGTGGGGCGGGTTGAGGCGGTGGGTGACTCAACCCCCTCCCCCTTCCACCAACAACAGAGCCTGTTTATTACTCATTAGCACGCACATCCGTCCGACTGCGGAAGCCAGCAACAACAGCAAACAGGCCGAGCAAGAGCTGCAGAAACTTTTGCACCAACTTTGGCTCATTTATTAAGAACAAACATGCACTGAGAACCGAAGCTTTGCCAATAAAAATTGTAGTAAAAATAGATTAATAAATTAATCTATAGTTTTATACTTAAATAAAAAAAATTTCTAAAACAAATTTTGATTCCTGTCGTCTGAAAAATTATTCGCTTGTCATTTTTGTAAAAACATTTTCGGTTTCCAGTCTTTTTTATTGACAGTTTGTTATTAAACATATTTTAAAGAACTGCTATATATTGCATTTTCTCATTTAATGGGGAAAATTGTAAAGTCTTTAAAATAATTAAAGCAATCTGAGGCATTACTCTTTAATAAAAAATTAATTATATTAAATGAACTCTTAGGGAATATGCAGCCAAGCAGTTATTTAGTTGTCCTAAACCTTTTACTGCGATCCCTCTACTCATTGCCGAATTTTCTCGCAGTGCTGACACACTCACACGCACACTCGCTTAATGAAACGTAACTTTTTCATTAAAGTTTCGCTTTCGTTTATTAGAAACGGGCCGGGAACCCCACCCCCAGCACCCCCTTCTAGCCACTGGGCCACCCTCGAACATCTGGGCTCTTATCTTTTGTGGCCAGGGTTCGTTAACAGTTGTTAGTTAGTCACGTTAAGTTTGCCGTCCGCATGCAGCGATTGGAAAGTTCTTCCTGCTTTTCCGGCAGCGACCGAACCATCCCGTCCACGTAAGGCTTCCGACGACCCCCAGAATTGAACTGAGGGACTGGCTAAGCGACCAATATTCCATTTGCTGCTGCTGCTGCTGCTGCGTTTCTTTCGCCGCTGCCGCTGCTGCTGCTGCCGCTGCTGCTGCTGCTGCTGCTGGTGTGCTGCTGCTGCTGCCTGTCGACTGTCTGTGGCTTTCTGAGCGCCTGCTACTATCCGCCGAGTTAATTGGTTTGCAAACAAATTAACCAACGTGGGTGTGTACGTTTCCTAATTAGCAGCTTTTGTAATTAAATATGCCCGCAGCCATTCAAACCGAACAGGCGGGGGGTGGGGGGATGGCCCATAGCCGTGCGTGAGTGTGTGTGCACAATGGTATAACGGTTCATGAGACGCCCAGTGGCGCCTCCAAAGGGGCTAATGAACAGAAACAATGTGGCACCCCTCTTCGGACACGCCCCTGTCCGGTTTCAGGAAGGGGAAACAGCAGGATTGGGTGGTTTCGGGGGTGGTTTCGGGGGTTCTCTGGGTTGGCAGCACTCTGACGTCCCGAATGAAAATGCATTTTAATTAGGGGTTTTTGTTGGGTTTTTGTTTCGAGTTGTTGTTGCCGCTGCTCGGCTGCTTGCGGTTTCATTCATTAGTTGAATGGAGCCAGAGCAACTCGATAGGGTTGTCGAGCACGCCGAAAGGGATTAAGTCCGGGTGTCCAATTAAAACGGGCTCTTTATATAAATATTTTATGCCCAATCACACTTTTTAAATTTATTTTATTTTGGTTCAACTAAGTAACAGGAATTAAATTTGTAAATTAATAGAAAATCAATAAACGCTTTTATACAAAAAAAAATTAAAAATATATACTTTATATTGTTTCTTATACCAGTTACATACTTTTAAAGAATATATGTACAGTATAAAAACTCTATATATGATTAAAAATAATTTTAAAAATATATATTTTGAAACTTTATTATTACTTACTGTTTCTTCAATATAACAAAATGATCTCTTTACTTATCTGCACATTTCATCTCCCCAATAACGAGGTCTCGACAACTCTGACGACCCGAGACGATAAGCAATCCAAATGGGGCATTGAAAAAGCGAAAAAACCTGGTCAGTGAGCGAGGAGGTGGGCCGCTTGGCAAGAAGTGGGGCTTTGGGGACGAGAGGCCGGAGGCCGGGGCTTTTTTGGGGCTTTAATGGATGCATAGCGCCCACAAGTTTTGCGCTATTCATTATAAACGCCGTTGTTGTAGTTGCTTTCGTTGTTGTTCAATTGAATTGGAGCCGGGAAGCAGCGGCAGGAGGAGAAAAAGGGTCCAATTAAAAAGCCACAACAATTAACGAGCCAAGTGAGTTAACTTGGCATAAGTGGAATTTTAATTGGCAACACGAGAGCGAGGTGGCCAACGAGGCAGGAGCCGAGTGACTTGCCGAGTGCCGATAAGTGCCAAGGGAGTGGAAAAGCAGGTGGGTGGGGGTGGGAGTGGGGAAGTTGAAGGGGGGGTAGTGGGCCGGCAGAGCTCGTTATGGGTCTCCGCAGTCCGCAGTCGACAGTCCCGGAGTAGTTAAGTAAATGAGCATTTTGTTCCACTAATGAACACTAATGAATATGCCAGAGACAGCACTTGGATTAAGCCCGGCCGGCAGAAAGAGCGAGTGAGTGTGTGTGTTCGGGCCTTTTGTTGGTTCGGGGTTTTTGTGTTGTTAATTAATAAACACGAAGCCCGGGGACCATGGAGCGTGTGTGTGTCTGTATGTGTTTATCTGGGTGTGCGCCCAGTTTTCAAGGGGTTAAAATAAGCAATTAGTTGGATTTTCGACTAGGCGCTCAGCAAACGCGCAGACGTCGAGGCCAGAAACAGAGGAGGCCATTCTGCTCTTCCATGCCAGCCGAAATGAGAAAGTTTCAAACTGTTGCCGGCGCTGCCGCCGCTGCTGCTGCTTCTTCTAACGAGGCAGCGGCGCAGGAGTTGGCCGCAGGAGGTGGGTTGTGGAAGATAGCGGAGGAACATGGTGGACGCGGAGGAGGAGGTGGCCGAGGACGTGCAGACCCCGGCGAGGGAGTCCATTCCGCATGTAAGCCAGCCACGCATCCAGCGAGAGAGAGCAGGCGGCAGAGGAGCGTCGGAGGTGCAGCAGGTACACTGCGAATAAAAAGATCAACTGTTAAATATTAATGTTAATATTATATCACTGGGTTCGTAGGGTGTAAACTTTTTCTGAAAATAATGATCGATGGTAGTGATCTCATCTCCATTTTGCTGAAATGGGATCCAAACATTTTCCAATGGCCTCTTCATAAAGTACGGGTTGATCCTCTGTTGATCTCAACTAAAATTGTTCTTTTATATTTTTGTATTTAAAATTTAACTAACAAATTATAAAAAAAATTAATTAAACACGGATATTATTAATAAAGACATAATTTTGCGAAGTTGTGATCTTCTTTATGTATATCTATCTTTACTTCCCAACCTGCCGATCTTCTGGGCAAAATTTTTTTTTTGTTTAAAAATACAAATTAACAACCATTTTGTTTTTTACAAAACTTAACAATTTCAGAAGAATAAAACTAATTTTATATGAATCGTTAGAGATCGCAAAAAATTACCATTGAATATTTTAAAACATTTTAAATTCAGTATATTCAGTATAATAAACCAATGAGGAAACTTTTGAAAAACTTTTTCTGACAGTATATTTTCCTGTGTCGGAACAACCTTTCGTTGTTTGGCTGTGCAGAGCTTAATTGGGAAACACTGATGAGACTAGCAATTAGCATGGACACGAGACCATTGCAAAAATGAATAATGGCTCAAACGTTTAGCTCAGTTAGGTAGGTCAGGACAGGAGTAGACAAAAACATGGGAATGAATATGCGCCAATTAAACAGAAGCAAAGAATTCAAAATATTTTAAAGATAAAAATGGTAACTGACTGTTTATATCCTATTTGGAACAAATATAACCTGCACCATATAAGATTTATTTAAATATATTTTAGATAATCATTTTCCAGAATAATCTTATTATTTCCTGTTCTTGGGAAACTAGTAAGTCGCCATTAAAGGCTTACAAATATAAAATGCGAATAAATAGTATGCTAATGAATAAAATGCCATTAAAGGCCACAAACTAATTGTCTTACAAACGGGCAATAATGTCAGAATTATTTTGTACTATTTGCACAACTTATCTACAGAAATAGATCGGCAAGACTCCAAAAATAAATAAGAAATCTAAATGCGGTTCCGATATACATTCTAATTGTGAGCCGCCTCCAGAGAAAGAATTATTTGCTGCCGGGTAGAATGAATCACTTTAATCTGCTGGCGATCAAGATATACCCCTGAATGTTTACATAAGACCCCCATATGACAGCTAGGCCACAATAACTCTCCACCGGGGCTTGGAGCTGCTCTACGCCATTGAGCTGCCAGACGCGATGACTTTATATGGCCAAGCGCCAAGCGACGTGCCATTGTCTGCCACCGATCGAAAGTGCGAACCTGCGGAGGAGGCGACCTGTTGGTACACTGCAAGAAATGGATTATTCTATAACAATGCTATAATGACAACAGATTCATGTATTAAGCTACACAGAGAAAATTCTGACGTTCTATTCTGAGCTGAAAATGTTCTTAAAAATAGAACGACATTTTTAAGTTGAAAATGTTTTTATTTTGCTCCAATCAAGTTGAATTGGCGGTATTTAAGTAAATTGTATGTACAAATAAACTATTAGTTCAGTCTAAGGACTGAAAAAAATACACTAAGGTGTATACTTATCAAAAAGTTGTTAAATAAACTCAATTTAACTTTTCTCTTCTCACCATTTCGTTCTTATATTGATACCAAAATGTACTTACACGGTTTTTAAGAACGAATGTTCTCAATTCAAGAACAATGTGCTCAATTCAAGAACAATGTTCTTAGATAGTTTTCTCTGTGTATGATCACTAACTTTTCTTTTTCGTTTTGAAAGAAATAATCTTTATATACAAAATATGAATATTGGGGAATACTGCTACATACTAATTAAGATCGATTGCAAATTCATTCTCCTAAACTTTGAAATACGGGTTTAAAAAAGATCATTAAGAAGTAGTGGTGCATTTAAGATGCTGTGGTATTGATTTTAGAGTACCATATACATACATATGTAGAATAAAGCTCACTTAAGTTTTTTACCTCTTGGTAGGATATTGCTTTGGCAAAACCGCTTAACCTAATTTATACTTTACTTTTTCTTCAGTATCTGAACCCGTTTGAAGCTGTCGGAAGAAACAGCGTTAAGTCTTGCGCCCCTGACGTCAGCGATTTGAAATACGCGCAAACAAATCGCGGGGGTCGACTCTCCGCAGCAATAACATCATTTACATGACGAGTTTTGCGCGCAAACAAGGTGAAATCATATTTTAGAATACGACCTGCTCGACAGCGACTCAATCGTGTTTGTGATCTCGGCGTGAAAAGATCAGAGCTTGATAAAGTAAACGAAACTCAGAGATGCCACTGCGGAAGAAAGAGGACTATATCCCCATCAAGTGTGAGGGCTGGAACGGAAAGTTTGAGTATCCGGACGGAGCCGTCAACAATGTGTCGAAGATCCGTCGCCAGAACCAGAACGTGACCAACACCAACAACTTCTACGGCTTCAGCTCGGAGCCCATTGTCCTGCCCACCGAGTGGGACGGGACCTTTGTGAAGAGTGGCGAGACCCGTATCAAGCAGGAGCGCAATCGATCCGATGACCAGGACTACTTTGACTACAACACGCAAGCCACCGTACTCCCGCCCACCTGGAGCGGCGAGTTCGTCACCGATCCCACCGATGTGCGCATCAAGCCGGAGCGGAACTTCTCCGATGCCAGGGACTATGCGGAGGCAGCCCGCTTCAAGTTGGTCCAGCACTGAGTGAGATCCGATCCCCCCGTTTCAACCAGACTAATCCTGCAAATTTGCGTTTGTTTTGGTTTCTCATTGTATCCTAACCTAAGCGTTCGTTGTATTTTACCGTTTATGATATTTATTCGTATACTTAATAAACAATAGCAAAAAATCACTGAAATACTAGAAAGTTCCGTTGTGCAATCGCCTTGGTTGGTTTGGCGTGGGCGGTGCCGATATTCAGTGGCCTTTTATGGACAATAATTCGTTCGGGTTTGCAAACTAAAGTCATAATTATAATATTTGTTGAGATCAACAACAGAAATGAGATTGCCTTTTATGAGGTGAACGGGAAAACAGGGTTATTATTACAAGTCGCATCAGCAACTGATAATATTTACAATCATTATGTTAATATTGAACTATGGGATTCCCTAAAGAAATTTCCGTTGATAGAGAAGGTACTCAGAGTTCAAGCTAGCAATTTTTATAGTAGTGATGTGATTTATTAGATTTTCATAAAATGAATTTACATTTCTGGTAGAATTGAAAGAATGTTCTTTAACTTTGTGAGGGACTCCCCTTTTTAATACTCGCTTGTTTACTAAAGGTTGGGCTCCCACTAAATAACCCTGTTTTGGAGCTTCAAGAGTGCAAATTAATTATTTTCAACCTTGCGCAAATACTAAGGCTATGATAAGAGGATACCTGAAGAAATTCTTGCGAATTGCTAGCTCGTCAATCCTTATGTAAGCAACTTTTAATTTAAAAACTAACGGAAGACAATAAAATATAGGGGGGGATTTCAATGCCCGCAAAATACAATGCAGCTGATATGGCTTTTGTAGGGGAAGTACACAGTGATAAGAAAACAAGTGGAGAGTCTATATAAACAGAGCGTCCCCAATTGTTCGGTTCACAGTCAAGATGCCGAGCTTTTTAGGTGTAGCAATCAGTTTGGCTCTTTTGAGCTTGGTGGTGGGTCAGGCGACGAATGTCTCCCAGTCCATGGACCTCTATATTCTGCAGAACCAGCGACAGTACGATGCGAAGATCAAACAACTGGAAGATCAGTTGGCCAACTTTAGGATTCTTTTCAACAAGCGAATCGAGGCACTAACAGTTCAGGCGGATTCGATGCAGTTAAAACTAGAACAAGCCTCCGCGCACCTGGATCCCATCACCCTGATCGATTCCTGGAGCAAACAGTGTGTTCAAAACTACAGCGTCACCATCCCAACAGTGAGCGCCGCCAGGACCTCCATTACCAACTGTGCGGAAAACATCAACGGGGTCTTAAACTCTCCTGAGAGTACCTACAACACACTAAACAGTTACTATAAAAATAATTTGAAAAACGGACTGGCGCAATGCGTAAAGCTTCATCCCACTGCTCAGCTAAACTACACGCTCTGTGTGACCAAGGTGGTGAGTACACAGTATACAAATTGGAAAATCCCAGAGTTTTGACCTGATTATTGCCCTTATAGATTGGCGATGCCAATAAGTACACGGTGACCAGCCAGAATAACTTCAATAACTACCTTAAAAGTTCCGAGTGTACAGCCGAGAACCGAGTGCGCAGTTCCTGGCAGTGCTCCTTTGGACAGGTGTACTCCATTACCTCCAGAGTGGAAGTTGCCTTGCAACTCATCGACACCTGCATTGCCAATAGACTGGTGTGCGGCTCTATCCTCTGCTCCGTTGACAAGCCCTCGTGCCCGAATGTCGCAAACGTAACTCTGGCTGAGATCAATCCCCAAAACGATACTATTCGGAACCCTTTCACCTTTGTCACAAACAGTATGAACTGTGTTGAGTTCAGACTGAACAGATAAATATTAATACGGTTGTATTAATAATGGTTAAACTGCAAACAAATTTAATTCCTTATACTTATTATATAGAGTCTAGTCCTTTATAAGAATCGTGACTAATTTTAAAAAGAGCTAAAAGGCTTTCGATTTCTTTCAGAATGCAACAAAAAATTGTTTATACCGATCATTCCGTTCCAATGCAGACTTAATCTATAAGTGTGTTCTTACAACATCTTGTGTAGCATACTTTTTAATACCAGGATATACACATTTTTATCCATTGTGCCCTTTTTATGAACTGTGCTAATTTCTAAAAGATCAAGTTATATCTTTAAATAAAAATATAAATCTAGTAGCTTAATCAATTTTAATTACGAATAAAAATAAATATTTCTTAAAAATAAAATTTTTGTATTAATGTATTGAACGCTTTTAAAGAACAAAAATAATTTTCTTCGTTACTTATATACTTAAGAAGCGTGTTGATGTTCGAAACAAAAAAACGACAGCTGAATAAATAGCGCAATTGTTTATGAGGAGTATATAACGAATTTCGATCGACCACCTGCTGAGTTGAATGGTTGTCAGTTAACTGGAGAGCACCAATAAATATGCCAAGATCTCCGATGTTTTGATTCCGTTCTCTTTTAAGCCCGAAGACAACTAATCCAACAGGAGCCCAGAAACATTCGGAGTATCTACATTAAACCCACGCAAAGTGAGAAGACAAACAGGGTTTCTACCTTTTTCAGGTACCCGCACGAACCATCTTTAGAACTTAAGCCATTCAAAGAGACCGCCTTAATCTCCAAATTCGTAGAACTATTTCCCCGAATTTGAAATCACATAAAACCCGAGATCGCTTTGTGTGTGGGTTTTCTTTAAAACGTTTTCTGTTCTCGCATTTCATTATCTTGATGGCAGATGCGTGAGAACAAAGATCGGCACAGGCTAAGGAAAATCGGGGCTCCTGAACCATCGATCTCTTGACACGGGCTGACCGTGTGAAATATTTCAGATGCTTGGGAAACCTTCGAAAAATTTTAATAGGCCAGCAGAAAAGAAAGTCGGTGATTTCGGAAAATGTTTGGAAAATGCTCACGAGCACGTAGTCGTTGCATGTCTCTGGAAAACAGCGTGAGAATTTTGGGTGTCCTTTATTGGGTGATCGTGTGAAAATGTAAAAATAGTTTTCCAATTCGTTGAAGTTTTGACTAGGAGATCATAAACGAAAGCTGGATGTGCAAGAAAAACGGAAAATCTTCAAAGAAACGTAGGTAGGACCTGCTACATGAGAAGAAAGGATATGACTCTGATCCTTAATCTTCTAAAGTTCGTGGGAACTTTTAAAAATTGTAGAAGCCTAGAAGAATCATGGAATAGGCTCTCAGAAATTACTGTAGCTGAAAAACAAGAGGATCTACAAATTCTACCTGTTTGCGTCTTAAAAAAGTGCAGCTACCATTTTTTCAAAGAAAAGACCTCCCACATAAAAAAAGAATCTTGAAAACCCGTGCACAAAGAATTGGTTTTGACATCTGGTGCAGCTGTGGGAAAATGTAATCTTCAAATCCGTTCTGATCGTGAGAATTTTCCAAAAATATTTTACAGCGGAAAACTCTAACACCAGGCTCACAGAAAAAACTAACACATCCATTGAATTTTCTCAAAACAGCACTACCTGTTGATTCGGTTTGAAGAATGCATCGGAAAATGCAGCACGGTACAAAAACGACACCCGCTTTCCAGGAAACCTGTTGATTGCAAAGGGGAACCTCCCTTTAGTGGTTTAAAAAACGGTCCTTTTAAAAATCAAGATCTATTGAGATGGTGCCGCAGCAGCTGTGTGATCGTTTTCATCTGCTTTTGGTCCCTTAGTCATTTTCCGATCGTGTGAATTTTCCAAGCCAGATGTTCACAATGCAAGCATTTCTACCAGGCAAACAGCATAAACCGTAGCTCGGGTCACTGAGTTTTTCCTATGAGAGATCAATCTCAAGTTTATACCTGCTAATGGGTCCTGAGAACAAGCAGCTGGACCGAATCACACGGTGATACGACTTTTCCTGCCACCTGTTCCATGGGAAAGAAATAAATGATTTTCTAATACATTTTCAATGCAGATGGAGCAGATGTGGGAAAATTCATCTGTCAATCGTGTGAAAAATACATCTTAACTAAAAAGAATCAATAGTCACGTACCAGGCAAACATCAGAAGCGGCAGCACGTTCTAAATAGTTTTCCCGAAGGGATGTTAAATTCTCTTGAGTCCTGGGAAAATTCAGTTGGAATGAAGCACACGATAATGCATTTTCTACAACTTGTTGCGTGGGAAAATAAAGCAAATGTATTAAAAAAGGTTTTTGTGTAGAGAGCGTGCGAAAGTAAGAACTTATGCCTCACCAATTATTATTCATGTACTAGGCCAACATAAAAGCAGAATAACGCGTTTAACAGATTTCCGAAAGAGAGTTCTACCTGTGTTTAGGTCCTGGGAAAATGAAGTTGTCTCGTGGCAGAAAATATAAAGTCATGTGAAAAAAACATCTGCCGATAGGATGAAAATGACTGGTAATCAAGGAAAATAATTATGTATCAGGCGAACATATGAAGAAGCAGAACACTCTAAAGAGTTTTCACAAGGAATGTTTTCTATCTAGAGTCCTGGGAATCTCTTCCTCTAACATGTTGCATGGGTATTACACAAAATTCATTTCTTGAACTTTTGACACGCAAACGGTACTCTTGTACCAGGCAATTACAACAAACTGACACGATCGTCTAAATAGTTTTATTTAAAGGAGTCGTACTTACACTGAAGTCTTGGGAACATTTAAAAGGCTCAGTGCACACGGATATCCTCTTCCTGCAAACTATTGCATGGGACAAATAAATGGTTTTTTTCACGTGGGAATTTTACAAGATACGTTTTTCTAATTTTCTCACGCATCAGCCTATCGTGTGATCATTACAGTCTAAGCATGAAATAACTGACAGGATCGTCTTTAAAGTTTTTCTTCTTCTTATTTCATGGGAAAATAGGGAAACTCAAAGAGTCTTTTTTATTTACGTTTGAGAGTTGATCAAGGCAGAAACGAATATATTTGGTCGATGTAAACAAGCCTGTTGAATTTCACAAAGTGTGATATTTAATTCTTCGTGCAAAACCTACCAGGGTTTCATAAGCCGTTGGTCTTATTGCCTAGGAAAATCATTTAGATTTTACCTACATAAGAACAAAGCAAAATGTATGAACCAAAGGCACCTCAAAATGACTAAGATTGGTCGTCGTGGAAAGTAACCTCAAGTGGTGGTGGAACGTGACATTTTTCTATTAGGTTAACAGAAAATTCAAAAAGTGTCTCGAGGTGCTACCCAATCCTTGTCCTAAAAAATGAGAACCGTTTCCCTTCATGATTGCCAAAAGATTTTCGGATTTCCAGGCATTTCCAAAGAAAACATTTATTTCAAGCCGGAAATAATACTTTTCATCCTAATTTTACCTAAGTATGGAGACCCAACAAAAAATGAACTGTGAATCATTTTTGTGGTGCAGAGAGAAAATTAAGGCAGTTGTTGTGGCAAACAGTCTCAAATGGTAGATAAAACTCTGAATCATCTGCCAGGATAACGAGAAAATCGGGCACGTTTCCCTACACACTTCCCAGTCATTATTCCCAATTATTGCCAATAACCAAGCCACAAAACATGTGCCGTTAATAAAACACCTGCAGGATAACTGAATGATGTTTATTCCTGAGATCATAATTATTACCAACCGGAAATGTTAATTGGTTGGTTGGCTTGAAATAATAGTTTTCCCAGTAGAGTATTGTAACTGAAAAGATCAACAATGAAGGATATATATATAAGGAACCGGAAATCTTTGAAAAGCACGTTCCACACTGACTATATTTTCATGGGAAAATTAAAAAGATAAGTTGTCGTGGGAAACAGCCACAAGTAGTGGTTCAAAATAAGAGTAATCTAACAGGATGACAGAAAAATGGATGGTGGTCTGACACGCTTTAAAGTCCTTATCCTTAATAATTTCTAGAAATTCACCGAATTGCATGTGCCTGCGAGAGATCACCTGCAGGATTACGGAAGCAAGATAATTGCCATCGGAATGGGCTATTAACAACCGGAAACGGCTTTTGTTACCACTCGAAATTGATTTTCCTCAAACGGGAAATCCATTTATAATCTTAACATTTCCGTTTCCGGTCCCTGAACATTTTTTTGGATTGGTTTTTTATTTATTTGTTTTTTTAACTCTACCTGACATATACTGAAATTTTTTGGGCTAGGCGTGAGAACGAACTCGGTTTAATTAGGCAATTTCTACTAGGAACGCAGCATCCTTAAGGCAATGATAAGATTTCAACGTTCCCAGGAGTCACACGATACGCGAAACCTTAGGATATCTTTGATCTTTTTAAGGATTCATTTAAGTTCATTGCCCTTAATCTTTTCAAGTCCCTGAAGGCGTGAGAATGCATGCTATATATGGAATATAAATTAGTTTTTGGTATCAGGGAAACAGCGAGCAATAGATGGGTGGCATACTTCCAGGAGTCAACATATATCCAACATATTTTATATGCAAATTCGATAAAACAAACTTCGTTTCAATTAAAATTGCTAACAGGCAAACAGTTTGGCCAGCAAGCGGATCTCACCTTTCCAGGGTTTTCTGCCTTCTTACCTGTGAGGAATATAGTAAGAAGGTGCCAACCTACCACCAAACTATTGAGTTCCAAGAAAGTATTCCTTCTCTTTCTCCTTCCATTTCTGAGACGTTTGCAACCCTCGTGATTTCGGCTATCTCAAAACAATGTCTTGGCCTCACCAGGCAAACAGCAACCCCAGAACGAGTGAAGATTACCCAAGTATACCCATGTATAAAGGAGGGTTGATTTCTAGCCATAAGAAAAGAAAACGTCTTGTAACATCTTGCGTTCCATTAGGAGAACAGCAGATTCATAGGACTCTGAAAATACATCCTAAGGGGGATTTGAAACCCATGAGGGTTAAAAGTGTCACCTCCTTTAATCGGCTTTCAGCAACATTAAGACAACAATTTAAAAAAAACTTCCAAAGATTTCGTTTCAAGTATTTTTGGAAGATCTTTCAGCTAATGTGGGCGTAATCCTTTCGCTGCAGGTAAAATTCCATGCCCAGAGCGTGAGAATTTCAATCAAATTTTGTTGATCTTGCAACAGGCGATCAGCAAAGAGAGCCAGCATCCCTGCCTTTCCCATCTCTCGAACCTCCGTTTTTTCACGCACATAGCGTGTGAACGAAGATCCACAAAAAACAAGAAAGAACGTTTATTTAGAGTGACCGACTATGGGATACCT